CGCTGAGCCATAACCCAAGCCACAGAGTTTCTTTCTTGTTGCTGACTTTTGTTTTTAAGATATTCCATTTCAATTTTTTCATATTTCAGCCAACTTCATTTTCAGCCATTTTATAATGTCATCACAAATAACCCTGATTCATTTCTTCATTTGATAACCATACACTTCCCTTTAAAATATATTTTTTTTTATTTTTGGTACTGGGGCTTGAACCTAGAGGCACTTAAGCACTGAGCCACATCCCCAGCACATTGGCAGTATTTGCATACTTCATTTTTATTTTTTTATTTTGAGAGAGGGTCTCACTAAGTTGTGGACACTGGCCTCAAACTTATAATCCTCCTGACCCAGGCTCCTGAGTCACTGGGATTACAGGCATGCACTACCAAGCCAGGCACAGTTCACATCTTGATAAAAGATTGTTAGTGAGGACATTTCCCATAAGTTCATCTAGTGTTATGCTTTAAAATAATCACAAGGATTCTTAGTGTCCTTGTTAGTTTACTGAAATTAAGATGTACTATCATAATTTGTGGGTCTAAGCAGTTACTGCTTATAGAAGCTACAGTCTTCTGATAGTATATTTTCTCTAGACACTGTATTTACTATTCTTACTAAATTACCTGGAGCCTAGATCTTGTCTCCACCCAGATGAAAGAGAGTTGTCCAATAGCTCCTTTCCATAACCTGAAATCTATAACCCCAAATAATTAACATGCAGGTTTGGATGACTGGCTCTGCTTTTTTGGAGAGGATGTTATCAATAACAGCCTTTTCTTTAGGAGAAAAAAGGTTAGGCTTATTCCTTCTTTAAAAAATAAATAAGTCAACAAAAACAAATAAAAAACCCATGCCTACCTATTGCCAACAAAAGTAATAAAGAACATGGTCAATGCTTATGAAGTCCATTCAAAGGGCCTTGGATAAATTCCAGATCCTAGGATCTTTTAACTACAATTGTATTGAAAAGGAGTTGCTCCTTGGTCCTGTTAATTCTGGGGGGGAGGATTCACCACTCCTGCTGAATCATCATAGGCCAGTGAACAGTGGATGGCTGCACCCTGAACTGAAGTGAAAGGGGTAAAAGTAAAAGCAAGAACTATCTCAATGACTTTTCTCTTTGCTAACTGGCAGTATATAGTCAGGTAAGGAATTCTCCTTTTGCAAAACCACTTAATTTGAATCCTAGGGAATTGTTTCAACTCAGAGTTCAGTTTCCATTGCACTTCATAGAGTATTTCTGTTAGTGATTCTTTTGACAGGAAATCAGACACAAGATCCCATGAATTGACAATCATCTATACAGCTTGTGCTGCCAATGTGAAACAAGTTTGGTCTTGAACCTGTAAGTCCAAATTAATCAACAGTACTGCGGTAGAGAAAAATAGGAACTTTAGCAGCTTAAGAGCTGACAGGCTGTGATTTTGCACACTGACACACAACAGCTCTGCTTATTGACATTTAACCATAGAGGCCTGCAGTGTCTAACAGATACCTGTAAAAGATAACTGCAGTAGCAGAAGCAGGAAACAAAGCAATGGGGACAGAACAATCTCCCTTTAGGCTTAGTGCAGTAAAGGTCTTTAAGTTGTATGAGCTAAGAGTCCCTAGGCTGTTGACAAGCTTGCATCCATGTAAGGAATATAGATGCACCCTCCAATAGAACTGCACCAACTCCCTTGCCTTGAGGTACTCAAAGTTGCTTATGTATAAAAGTAAAAGCTTTGTGGTACTCAGGACTCAGACTTTGGAAATTATCCCTCTGGGCCACAGCAACACTAATAAAGTATTGCTTCCAGATCTTGTGTCCTGACCCTCATTCCCTTTTACAGTATTACTTGGTAATAGTTAGGTAATCAGACATTTAATTATAAACTCCTGCCTTCAGCATTAGTATAGAGGTAATCCATCTCACCAAATCAAAATCAGGTAGCTGCTTCAACACACACACACACACACACACACACACACACACACAGAGCTGCCGTTGTAGCTCAGTGGTAGAGCACTTGCCTAGCTCGTGTGAGGCACTGAGTTCAATCCTCAGCAACACATAAAAACTAAATTAATAAAACAAAGTTACTGTGCCATCTACACCTTAAAAATTAAAAAACAAATACACACAAACAAGTGCCTAACTTGTCCCAAGAAGCTGATTCACAATGATATACCTAGCCTAATTCTCTCTTTAGATCAGAAGCCAGCTTGTCACCAGTTATGAAGGATTCATTTCTGTTTTCTGTAAAAATATTAGGATGTCTGTATGGCCTGGCCATTAGTTRATGTTGTAAAGCTGATTGGAATGCCTGCCCATGCCCTGAACTCACCCATGCCCGGTTTTCCCTGACCAGATAACAACCCTTTCCTAAACCTTAGTGACTCCTCATAAATTCTGGCCTTCCCTGGCTGGATAACGACCCTCTCTGAGTCTCTAAGACCTCCATAAATTCTGATGTCGGGGCCAGCAAAAATGTAAACTTGCGTTATGCTCCTCAGAGTTTTGTTATCTGTAACCCCGCTTTGTGTAACTTTTTGGGCTATAAAACTGGGTTGCAAGGAAGCTTGGCTGCTGTCCTTGGCTCCCACGATTTTGATGGGAAAGGCAGCCTGGCTGGTAGAAATAATAAGCTTGCTTTAATTTGATTTTAATTGGAGTCAGTGATCTTTTCTTGCATCGTGGTCTAACAACAAGTCCTGGGGTAGGACCAAGCAACCGTGTTTTCAAAAAAAGGTTTCTAAGTGATTCTGATGCACAGAGAGTTGAAATTGTCATGCAAAGCTGATATAAACAATTGTACATGATAGAGGGGAATGGGGTTCATGTATCTCAGAGGCAGGATACCCTGTGCCCACGACTATTCAAAGTACAGAAAAATGTTTTGCATCTTTCTGGAATGTCAATTTTGCTTGACAGATAAGCAGTTTAAAATATTTTTATTTTAAAATATTTTAGTTAGTGTACATAACTCTCAAAACTCATTTGACTTTTGATAGTTTTACATTTGTGTAACTTTAATAAGTATCATATGTCAAAAATGACATTTTACTCCGGAGTAGAATGCAAAGTTTGCATTTACTCTTTAGATGAACTCTAGAGACTTCAAAAAAATCTCCCTCTTATATTGGGTGGCAACCATTTAATTAACCATTTAATTTTCCTCTGCTTAGGGTTGGGAGAAGAGTTGGAATAAAGAGGGGAAGGCCTTTTGAAAGGGCCTGAACTACACTTTGAAAATCTCTAGGTTTAGAAATCCTTTCACTTCCAGTGCTTCTCATTCGTTTCACTGGCCTGACTTGTCCTCCACTCATATTGGCTCTTTGCCTTCTATCACTGACGTTTTTGTTTAACAATATTACAAAATCTCAAAAAAATTGAATTCCACTTTTTTATATAATTGGAGACTTTGTTGGGTTTTCTTTAACTTTTAAGTGACCTTAACTTGAGCTTTTTAAGCTTTTTTTTTTTAACTTTTTAGATTAGCTATTTTTACGTTTATTGATACTGAGGAAGCAATGTAATAACTGAGACAGCCTCAGAAATTGCACACCGAAACATCTTTCCCACTGTAGTGTTTTGAAAGGCTATGGGGATCAGAGACTGAGAAACTGATGTGACTCCAATTTTGAGAAACCAGCCTCTACTTCAGAGCAAATCCTGTCTAAGGAAGAGGGTGTGGCCCTTGTCCTTGGAAAAACCCACAGAGCACACCTAGGCACATACCCACCCTGCTGAGTTGTTTATCTGCAAATAACAGGAGAGATCTGTGGTGCCAGAGGTCCCAGACTCAGTTAGGCTAGGTGAGGACCCATAACAACCCCCAATCAGCATGAGACAGGGAAAATACCTGGGATGCCAGATGACCCTCCCAGTAATTTATGGTGGTTGATAACATGTTGGGAAACCATGTAATTCAGCAGTACTCCCTCATGGCTTAAACCAATCAGTTCGAAGGAATCCCCCTCTTGTACTAACCTATCACCCCTGACCAACTTGTTCGTGCCAGTGAATGTGCTAATCAATGTTAAGAGTTGTTGTTTGATTTTTCCCTCGGTGTGTGATAATTTGCTAAGAGATGCTATGATGTATTTTAGTAAAGTCCCTGCCTTCCCCAAAGAGTGTATAAAACTGCTGCAAACCCTGGGCTTGGGGGCCTCTCAGTGTCACCAGTTGCTGTGTGAACAGAGGACAGAGCTAGCTCACAATAAACGCCTCTTTGCTGCTTACATGATCTTGGACTCTGGTGGTCTTTTGGGGGTCCTGAACTCGAGCATATCAAGACTGGTTGTAGGTAGGGACTTGCCTAAAAATTGTGAAAAGCTGCATTTTCTGAATTGGAAACATAGTATTGGAGAGTAATGGGTCAGCAGCAAGGGTTGAATTTCTCCTATCCCAAGGGCCAAAGAGTGGGTAGCTGGCAAGAGTAGAGTCAGGGCCTCAGGGCTTTGGGCTAGTTACTTTCTCTCCTCATGGAAGCCCAGCGTCACCTACGAAACTGGGATAGAGTATATTTCTGCTTGCGGATTTAAGTAACGTGAATTACTATGATTTATGGAGTGCAAAGGCACAAGCTATGAAGCCAGAGGATTTAGCAGCCTGACAACACGACCCACAGACCACTTCTCTGTTAGACGTGCTCCAGCCACTCGAGTTCCCACAACCTCTGCGCAGGCCTCAAACCCCCAGAGCCGCCCTGGTGGGGCCCGAGAGGGCTTGCGCCACGCCCCCTTCTCGGGGAAGCCCGGCCCTCCTTCCGCCCCACGTGCGCTTCCGCCACCGGTGCGGAAGAGTGTCAGGGTAGTGGAGCGGGGTGTAGGCGAGAAGCTCCCGAGTTACGGATAGGCCGAGGCCTCCTAGTAGTCCTGCCTCCTTCTCACACCCGGGAAGAGGGCGGTTCATATCTCACCTCGCCCGGAGCCGACTGGTTTAGCCCCGCCTTTTCCGTCCCGTTATATAAAGCGGTTGGCTACCCTGCTGTCAGTCAGATGCAACCAGAGCGGCTTGAGAAGGGCTCTGGGTTTGTTTTGCTGGGCGGCTTTATGTCAGCTTGGCTGTCAGCTGCAAGAGTGCTTTGAACTTTTAGGTGGAAAATGCCGGAAAGTAACTTCACAGAGTGGAGCGACATTAGCGCGGTGCAGGTGGCCGCCGGGTACCCAAGCGTTGTCTTGGAGACAGGAGATCGTGGGGCGGTGTGGGTGGAGGCTTACAGGGGTTTCCTTTTCGCCTCCCCTAGGTAGGGGAGGAAGCGGCGACGTGGGTGGGACCGGGAGTTTATTCCCTGTTCTCTTGCCCGCAGGATGTGGAATTCGTGTTTGGCGTCCTAGGCATCCCCCTTGTATCCCAGGAGCTGGACATCAGGTATGTCGGGATGAGGAATTAGCAAGTGGTAAGGACTCAAGTAACCGAATGCATTATGGGAATGATAGATAATAGTAGCAGCTGTTCATTGCAAACACTCAGTGCTTACCATTTCTCTAGTGCTTTCCAAATGCATGGTAGGCCAGTTCTCTCCCGCTGAGCTATACCCTTACCTCTAACTTTTACTCTTCCTAGTGGGGAGAACCTTCTGTTCTTTTATGGAGAGAAGATGAAGTGATTGATATATTAATACGAGCTATACTTTACTGTTTTTCTGGAAGTGAGTTTACCTGCCACTGCTGTCTTCATACAGAAAACATTTATTGAATGTGTACTATGTTTTGGATACTGTGCTCCATAACTGGTGGGAGACCAGAAATATAAAGAAGGAATGAGGTGTAGTTTTGACTTTCATTTCTGAGAAGATAAAGGCAAGATATGCAGAAAAAAAAACAAGATATACTTAAATAGGAAATGTACAGAATGGGTGACTGGTTCTCTTTGGGATTTGCTTGACTATGTGGACCATAGTGCCGCTGACTGAGACTGGGAAATATACAGGGAAGAGCCAATTTGGAAGGGAAAGGTGATGAATTCAATTTGGAATGTGAGTTTGAGATGCATGTGGGACATCCAGCACATATGCCCATTGGACAACCAAGACTTACTGCCTGAACTAAAGGAAATGACAGGATGATTCAGAAGGAATATGACAACAGGATCAGAAGACATTCAAGAGTATGTTTGTGTTAAAGAGAAGGGTGTAGTTGGGTATGATTTGATTGTCTTTCATCAGATTCTTGAAGTAATCAAGACATAATGATCATATTTGGCTAGCAAGTAGGCAGATTGTTGTAAAGTAAACTGTTACTGAGTTTACTGTGTTCAGACACTATTCTGAGTGTTTTACATGTATTAACTGATTTCGTCTTCACAACAATGCTCTGAATTATATTCACTTTATAGATGAGAAAGCCAATGTACAAGTAAGATGCCAAAATTACACAGTAGAACCCCATAAAGTGGCACACACCTATAACCCCAAGCTACTCTGGAGACTAAGGCAGGAGGCTTGCAAGTTTAAGGGCAGCCTTGACAATTTAGTGATCCCCTGTCTCAAAAAGGAAAAGGATGTAGCTCAGGGGTAAAGCACCCCTGGGTTCAATCCCCATTACCAAGAGAAAAAAAAAGAGAGAAAGGTTTAAACACAAGTTAGGATGGTGGTACATGGCTATAATCCAGCTACTTGAGAAATGGAAGCAGAGTGATTGCCATTGGAGGCCATCCTAGGCAATTTAGGAATATCCTGTCTCATTTAAAAAAAAAAAAAAAAGCTGGTGATGTAGCTCAGTGTAGAGCACTTGTCTGGCATGCTTAAGGCCCTGGGTTTCATCTTCAGCACAAAAAGAAAAGAAAGAGAATATTCAAGCATAAAGATGTACAGTGCAGTGCTCTTAATACCAAAAATTATCCAGCAATTGAGAAGAGTATTTAATTGTGGTATATGTGTAAAAAAATGTAGCCTTTAAAAATTTTAAGAACTAATGACAAAGTAAAACATTTATAATAAGTAAAAGTGTATGAGCCAGTATTATATAAACTCATTTATAGAAAAAAAATTGCATATCAAAAAAGACTGTATGGCTGGGGATGTGGCTCAAGCGGTAGCGCGCTCGCCTGGCATGCGTGCGGCCCGGGTTCGATCCTCGGCACCACATACCAACAAAGATGTTGTGTCCACCGAGAACTAAAAATAAATAAATATTTAAAAAAAAAAAAAGACTGTATGAAAAGAGCCCGGGGCACTAATAATAGCTTATAAGTTGATATTATTATGGGGTTATTTTGGAGTTTTCTTTATGCTTTCACTATTTTTTCCACATTATCTAAAGTTAAGGTGTTAAAAACATAATAAACAAATGAAATAAAATATACAGTTTCTGTCCTAAGAGAAACACTACCTATGTGGCAGCTCACAACCCTGTTTGCCCTATGTGGTTTGGCCCCATCCCTTTTGATGTTTAATGAGTTATCTACAATTGCTATTTTCTCCCCACCTACCATATTTATTCTACTTAGTTCATCTTGTACATTAGCATTTACACAGAGTAGGATTTTTATTACTTTAGTTTAAAAGATCAGATTTACCCTTGAAGCTAATTTGTAAGCTTAAAGTATAAATAAGCTCCAAACTATTTAGACTTCAGAGATACTTGCAGAATAATTTAAATAATAAATACAAATATGCTTTTTTGTGTTATATCAGATTTTTTTAAATGGGCCTCTGTAATTGGAGAGACTAAATTGGATTTTACATTTGGGCTGCCTCCAATATAACAGCCATATATTAAGTTTATACGGGTACTCAGAAGAGATTTCAAATGAGAGCTATTTGTGGTTCATTGTTCTCCTTCTCAGCCATTATCAGCTCTGCTTTCTTCTTGGCTTTTGTAAGGAACCTTTTCTATTTTTACAAAAGTAGATTTTATAAATTTTCTAACATAATTACTGGTACCAAAGTAAGCTGCCTTTTCAAACCTAGAAAATGTAGTGTTATACTTTACTTCTGACCAGAAAACCTTTCAAAATCAAGTTTCAAATAGTTTGAAAAGCAGTTTGCCTCTTCTTCATGTTTAGATATATTTAAGGTAGAAAAAAGAATTTTAAGTAGGATTATAGATTAAAATGAAACATTCAGCATTCTCCTCTTTTTTTTTTAGAGAGAGAGAGAGAGAGAGAGAATTTTTAATATTTATTTTTTAGTTTTCGGCGGACACAACATCTTTGTTTGTATGTGGTGCTGAGGATCGAACCCGTCCGCACGCATGCCAGGCGAGGGCACTACCTACCGCTTGAGCCACATCCCCAGCCCCACCGTTCTCCTCTTGATGACCAAGGTCTTGAACCTAAGACCTGTACCATGCATCACCTCTAGGGAAGCTAAATTATTCCTTTTTGCAAAATCCATTTTCATTTATCCAAGGCCATCCAGAAATGGAACTTGTGAGCAAATGGAATAATCATGCCATATTCTAAGAGTGGTTCTCAGAATGTGGTCCCTAAGCTACCAGCATCAGCATCACCTAGGAAACTTGTTATAAATGCACATTTCTGGACCCCATTCCAGAATTAATGAAATCAGAAACTAAGGTGGACTCCTGCAATGTATGGTTTAATAAGCCCACGAGGTAGTACAGGCTCAAATTTGAGAGCCCCTGCTCTAGGTAGGAATCCTTAATGATGTAATTCAGTAGAATTTTTTCTTTCTTTCTTTCTTTTTTTCTTTTTCTTTTTTTTTCTTTTTGGTATCAGGGATTGAACTCAGGGGCACTTGACCACTGAGCCACATCCCCAGCCCTGTTTTGTATTTTATTTAGAGACAGGTCTCACTGAGTTGCTAAGCACCTTGCTAAGTTGCTAAGTCTGGCTTTAAACTTGAGATCCTCCTGCCTCAGCCTCCTGAACCACAGGTATTACAGGTGTACACCACCACACCTGGCTCAGTAGAGGTTAGATTCAAAACTGTAATTGATCAGCTCAAATGGGACAATACCAGAATTCCATAGAGTAGATTTTAAAATGAGGGAAGATGATGAGGTTCTCTATACTATGATACTTGAATAGATCTATGGATTTTTACTTTTTTTTTTTTTTTGAAAGTACTAGGGATTGAACCAGGGCCTGAAGCATGCTAGGCCAGTACTCTACCACTGAGGAGCTACATTCCCAGCCCTTTTATTTTACTTTACTTCACCTCACTTCTTGAATATCACATCTTCTTTATTAAATTTTACATATAACACAGTCGATTTATTCAGCCTTTATTGACTTCTTGGTGTTTTTTGTTTGGTTTTTGATTTTTTGGTGGTACTGGGGATTGAACCCAAGACCTCATACATGCTAGACAAGTTCTCTTCCACTGAGTTACATTTGCAACCCCTTAATTGACTTGTTAAATATTTTAAGAATAAACATGACTTGTTCTTCAGCTTTTTCTCTTTTTTAAGTTGTCATCTGTGCAGAAGAATTGGAAAATAATGATCTTCTGGTGCTGTGACTTTGCTAGGAGACGTAGATGCTGTTACTAAACAGGTAGGAACTTTTGCCTAGGTTTTTAGTTTGTGTGAACTGGTCTTTTAAGGAATGGTTCTTGAAATATTAGTGTCTATTTTAAACCAAATTTGTAAAGGGAAACTATTCAAAAATATAACTTTCGAACTTGGTCTTTTTATACTTAGCTCATATTTCTGTAAATTAAGCATTTTTTGGAAGGCATTTGAAAATTTAAAGTCATTCAGAATGCAAATGGATTTACTAAGTAGGATCCCAATGTCTGAAAAATTATAATGTAACTTTCAAAAGGAGTTTTGGGTTACAGCCCAAAAAATAGCTTTACAGGATGGAAATTTTTTTAGATTTTTATTTTATTTTATTTTTCTAAGTTAATAAAGAGCTTTTTACTCTCCCAAATTGCAATCAGTGATTTGTCCAGGTTCTTATTTTTGTATATATCTTATATACTCACTCCATTATGATAGGAGATTTAAAATATTGTCACATTTATCACTTGATTTTGGATATTTGCTATCATAAGTATATGATATTAAACTGCATCTCCAGTCACATATGAAATCACTCTGAAGCATTTGATCTGTATTACAAGACTCTGTAGGTGTTTATCAGCCTTTCTATAAGGGTTCTATGGAGGGTGTGGTTTTCTTTAAGTGTCAAAGACTGAAGAGGGCTTAAGAGCTCTTACCATAAGATGTAGAGATGGTGGCACTTCACTGTGTCCTACAGGAATCCCAGCATCTGGCAGAAATCCACACTGACCCAAACAAAAGCTTACCATATTATTCATTTATCAGTCTTTTCCTGCCTAAAGGAAAAGCAGAGAGTATGAGCAGTGTGAAGGGTAGAATAGCATAGCAAGCAGTGTGTCTTCTTTAAGAAGATATCTTATATTAATGTGATAAAATTGATTTTCAAAAAGGAAAGAAAACTTGTGGTTTTTTAGCTTTTAGAACAATTTGATAAGACTCCATGGCAGTATCCTGCAGAGATCAAGTGGTAGAAAACTCAGAGGGGAAAAAACAAAGAGCAGTGAGGCTGCATTGAAGGTTACCTTAGACCCCATGAAACTCAGACACTTCAGGTTCATGGCTCACTTAGTCTGTGACATACGTGTTCCTAGAAATCACGATGCTGCGCAGTCATACAATAAAAACCACAAAGAGGTAATGCTGGGGCTAGTTGGGACTGTTGCTGTTAAAGCCCCAGGTGGTTTTTGTTGGGCACCAGAAGGCATATGGCTAAACAAAGGCATTTACCTTGCTATTTTTATCTTCATTCAGGAACTATAGAATAGTGAATATAGTGTACCCTTATTCTCCAGCATGTGGAGGGAGAACTATATTTCCAGACTGTCTTCTGTAGTGCTTTAATTTTAAATTTAGCACCACATTTCAGATGAAAATATTCAGGGATAAAACTTTTTCTAAGGCGCTTGTTTTCGTAAGAATACTCAGATTAAGATTATTTAGTTTTGTTTAACCCAGTGTTTCCTAGCAATCTTTACTATAGGACTTCTTGGTATCTTTAATATGCTAGTATGCATTGTGGATTTCCAGGAAGAGAGAGATTCTGTGGCTTATTTGATTGTGTCCCAAATTAGGACTATGGGATAAGTCCCCCACCCACAGGATTGTTCAGTTAGCTTCTGAGGGTGGCCATGAAACAGCCATTTGGGAATCTTATAGCTTATAGTTGTACCTATTTCCAATTTAGTTTGGTAGTGGCTTACTGAAATTGGTTATTTTCATTGTATCTCAATCTAATTTAGAGTATATTCCTCTTTATTGTTTTAGTAATTAGTTTCCCAAAATCCCTGCCTACACAGTATTCTACCATGTTCAAGAACAACTGCCCTTGCCAAGCAGAGTGATTCATGCCAGTAATCCCAGCAACTCTGGAGGCTGAGGAGGGAGGATCACAAGGTCAATTCAGCAATTTAGCAAGGCCCTAAGCAATTTAGCAGGATCCCATTTCAAA